CCCTAAAGGCCTTAGGGTTTAGGGTTTAGGGTTTAGGGTTTAGGGTTTAGGGTTTAGGGTTTAGGGTTTAGGGTTTAGGGTTTAGGATTTAGGATTTAGGGTTTAGGTTTAGGGTTTAGGGCTTACACCCAGTACCCAGACCTTCCGGGAGGATCCCAAAAATCGATCTTTTCATGGAGGGGTTCCTATAAAGTATACCCTGTAGTAGTTAGGGTCCCATAATTAGGGGTTTTCCTTTCTAGATCCTTCCGGGGGTCTGGGACAGGAGGATAGGGTTTCGGGGGATTTAACATTAGGCGTTCAGTTTGTGCAGGTTTAGGGTTTAGGGTTTAGGGGTTTCTGGCAAAGTAACAGAGCCCTAAACCTCAACACCTCCCATCCATCGTCTACGCAACCCTTGAAACAATACTGTCAAAGAGCCCTTCAAAGAACACATCCCAAGTATTAAGGCACCATTATAATCCTGTATAAAACCTCGTGACATCGTGGAAGTCACCATGCAACAACAACCTTGCAAGCGCTTTAGAACCCTTGCACAGCCCCGATCTCCAAAGTACATGAAAGCCACCCGCAATATATTATAACCACCGTGCACACCCCTTATAAACCCTCTGAGCCCTGAATGAACCCCTACACCCTAAAGCACTCTTCCCGAGGTATTAGGGTTTAGGGCTTTTGGGGTTCGGGGTTTCGTAGGGTTTAGAGCTCAGGGTTTGGTCTCTCTGTGTGTGCCGTTCAGGGATCAGGCATCGGTGTTTAGTTGTTAGGGTTTGGGGTTTAGGGTTTAGGGTTTAGGTTAAAGGAAGCTGATTCTAACTTTAACGGCCTCCATGTCATGGAACCCTTCTACTTAAAGGTTCATGGGACTTAGTAGTTAGGGTTATAAAAAAGGTCACTATACTTATAAGTACTTATAACCCCAATTAGGGTACTTATAACTGTACTTATTATGTCCCTTGAACCTCCAAGTAGTATCCCTTTAGAAACCCCTAAACCCTAAACCCTAAACCCTAAACCCTAAACCCTTCAAAAAAAAGCTTCAAGAGAGCCCTAGTCTAATGCTTGAAGCCCCTATCTGTCAGCCCTTATAGTAACCCCTGTAGAACCCGGTTTAGGATTTAGGGTTTAGGGTTTAGGGTTTAGGGGTTTAGGGTTTAGGGTTTAGGGCTTAGGGCCCTTTTTAACAGCAGGCAAGGAGCTCTGTTCTCAAACCCTACTTCTATGCACCGAAACCCCTAAACCCAAAACCTCAACCCCTTAACCCTATAAGTCTGAAACCCCTTAACCCTAACCCCTCTCAATCCTACAATTCCTAAACCCCTAAGCCCTAAACCCAGAAACCCTATATTTCTTAAGCCCTAAACCCAGAAACCCTATATTTCTTAAGCCCTAAACCCGCAAACCCTATATTTCTTAAGCCCCTATACAAATAAAGCCCCAAGCCCAAAGCGTTGAAACCCCTTAAAGCTGCAGAGCACCGCGATCGATCTTAAGTTATAGTAGGATCCTTACTATGACTTCTGGCATATTCCTTAATCAACGATGGGATCCCTACTATGATTTAGGGTCTATTCCTGAATAAAGGGATCCCTACTATGACTTAAAGTCTATTCCTTGGTTACGGGGTGGTTTTTCGAAGATCTGGGCCGTAAACCCTAAACCCTAAACTCTAAACTCTAAGCCCGAAACCCTAAACCCTAACCCCAAACCCCTACGCCCTAAACCCTAAACCTTAAACCCTAAACCCTAAACCCTAAGCCCTAACCCCTAAGCCCTAAACCCCCAAAGCCCTAAGCCCTAAGCAGGAGGAAAGCTTCTGGGTCTTCGTGCGGCTTATGGACCATGAGGTCGGCTGTCGCGCTGTGCGGTTTGGGGGTTGAGGGGTTAGGGTTTTGAGTTTAGTGTTGAGGGTTTAGGGTTTAGAGTTTAGGGTTTAGGGTTTTAGGGTTTAGGGTTTATGGTTCAGGGTTTATAGGAATTATTTAGGATTTAACAGTCAGGATTTTTGGTTGAGGGTTTTTTTGGGGGGGTGTTTAGGGCTTAGGGCTGGGAGGATTTTGGGGTTTTGGGGTTTTGGGTTTAGGGGTTTTAGGGGTTTGGGGTGGTTTTAGGGTGTTCTGGGGTTGGGGACCGTTTATGGTTTTTAGTTTGCTGTGTTTGTTGGTGTGTGGTTTCAAAGGGATATCCGACGAGTAGATTTGGTGCTTCCTCCCTCAGGAGAGCAGAGGAGAGGGGTCTGCCCCCCCTAAACCCTAAATCCGTAAACCCCGAAACCCTAAACTCTAAACCTATGCAAGAGGGCTTTGTCAGGCCCTCCATGCAGGCCCTGAAAGCAACCCTTGAGGTCCTGAAGACCCTAAACCCTGAAACCCACACCCTCAACCCCTAAAGCCCTAAAGCCCTACCCCTGAATGCCTGCCTGGAGACAGGGGCGTATTTAAACCCCGAAATGCTAAACCCTAAACCCTAAAACCCTAAATCGTAACCTCTCGACCCACGACCCTCAATCAACTCCCAGCTCTGAACTAGACCAGAACCCAGAATCTCGGGAGGAGCCAACAAGTAGATCCCCTAAGGGGGTTCCTAGGGTTTAGGGTTTAGGGGTTAGGGTTTAGGGTTTAGGGTAGAAAGGGTACCCTTTCGTAGTACAGGGTCCCAAGTTGGGGGATCTACTTTTTGGATCCTCTCTATACCCTAAACCCTAAACCCTATAAATCCTTTGAAGGAACTCCAGCGATCTACGTTTTAGATCCTCCCGCGGGTCTGGGTAACTAGAGGAACTCAAAAAAGCCTAAAGCCCTCAACCCTAAAGCCCTAAACCCTAAACCCTAAACCCCTAAACCCTAAAGCCCGAAAGAAACCCGAAAAGTCCGGAAGCAACCCCTCAACAATCCCTCAGAGGCACCCTTTATTAAGGATAATATAGGAGCCTTAATAATTACCTATAGTATTTTGTTGGGGGGGTCCTTATTATGAATATAGTATAAACACTATAATATACTCCAAAACCCTAGTCTAATGATTATGGCCTAATTCAGGGCCCTATATTAAGTAATCGATTCCAAAATCCTGAAGAAGGAAGCCCGGAAGAAGCCCTTCAGCCTTCCGTAAACCGGGAACCCTCGACCCGAAAGCCTTCAAAAGGGCCCCGAATCAACCTATACAGCCCTTATAGAGCTCCCCTAAAACCCTAAACCCCTAAACCCTAAACCCCTCAAGGTTTAGGGTTTAGGGTTTAGGGTTAAGGTTAAGGGTTTAGGGTTTAGGGCCCTGAAAGCCCTTAAAGCGCCAAGCGCGCGAGGACTTTGGCCTCGGTGGTTTCTACGTGGGTCGGCGCCGGCCTCAGAGATAAACATCGGCAGGTCGCTAAACTCTGAGTCCTACCTTAAGAACCTAAAACCCACTTTTTTGTAGGTTCCTATTATAAGCCCTAATGTGGGATTTATAGGGACCCTACAAAAAAGTAGGTTTTGGGTTCTTAAGGTAAATCCTAAACCCTAAACTTCCCAGACTTATAAGCCATCTTAAAGCCTTTCACCCTAACCCGAACCCCAAGCCTCGCAGTGTGCAGGTTTTAGGGTTTAGAGTTTTAAACCCGCACACCGGATTCGTTTCAAGAGTGTTCCTTTAGTTTTGACTGGGCAGAAGGGCTCGAGAAGGCAAGTCGTTTCGGTTTCCGAAAGCGAGGGGGGGGCACTACTAGACAAGACGGTTTAACGTTTAGGGTTACGATCCTTCTTGCAAAAAGCCCTAAACCCTAAACCCTATAAACCCTCAGCCAGAATCCCTGGCAGAAGCTGACCAGCAAGTTCCCACGAACCCGGACATGAGTTGTGGGACAAGATCATCGAGACGGCGGTGCACCCGCAGACCCACCTGGCCGAGCTCATCCCCGGCATGTCTCGCAAGGTCTTGGGGGTCTTCCCCATGAAGGATTGGAAGGCAGCGGGTGGGAAGCCGATTACTCAGAAGGCCTGGCGGAAGTGGTTCATTGCCATGGCAGAGTATGCAAATGAGCACTGCTCGGACACCAAGTTCCCAAGCCTGGTCACCTTGAAGCAGGAGTGTGAAAGATTTTGCAAGTAGAGGTGCGCGGGTGCTGTGGCTGACCGAGTGCTGCTTCCACTGAGCCTACGCATCAAATCCACCAAAGCTCGGAATCCGACAAACCTGTATGGGGTTTAAGGTTTAGGGCTTAGGGTTTAGGGTTTAGGGTTTAGGGTATTGCATTGAACGGAATAAAACTGTACAAACCCTCAATCCTACCTGCACCCGAAATAAGCTGCGATGTTCAGGACCTATACATGAGGAAATCATAGTAAGGAAACCCAAAAAGGTAGGTCTTATAGAGCCCATACCCAGACCCCCAGAAGGATCTAGAAAGTAGAACCCCTAATTTGGGACCCTGTACTGCTAAAGGGTCTTTACAGGAACCCCCCTTAAGGGATCTAATTTTGGGATCCTGCGGGGGGTCCGGGTATTGATCCCCAAAAACCCTAAACCCTAAACCCTAAACCCTAAACAATAACCCACCCGTTAAGGGGACCTTTAGGGAGCCCGCTCGTCTCAGACTGCCGCTTCTCCGACGCTATCTCCGCGCTTGCGAGCCACTGGGCTGTGATAGGGTTGAGGGATTCAAGAGCCCTAATGGTCCAAGTGCCCAAATAGTAGGGGTTCAAGCCCTAAACCCTAAACCCTAAACCCTAAACCCAATTCAGAGTATGGACTTTGGGGCCTAAAACCTTACTATTGGGGTACGGGAGGATTCAAAAAGTAGCTCCCTTAAGGGGGATTCTTATAGAGAGCCTTTAGTAATATAGGCACATAGGCTACCAAATTAGGGGTTCTACTTTCTAGATCCTCACAAGGGGTCTGGGTAATAGTGGGCAGTTAGGGTATATTAGAGGGTAGTTGGGGGGTCTAGGAGTATCCCTCGTCAGTACTACTACTACTACTACTACTACTACTACTACTGCTACTACTACTACTACTACTACTACTACTACCACTACTACTACCACTACTGCTACTACCACTACTACTTCTACCACTACGACTACTACTACTACTACTACTACTACTACTGCTGCTACTGCTACTGCTACTACTACTACTACTACTACTACTACTACCACTACTACTACTACTACTAGTAGTAGATCTCCAACAGCCATTCAACCGC